AAAAAATTGTTTCAAAAAAGTCACGTTACAACCATTTTTATTCTAAGGAGGCAATCTTTAGTTAAACCTCGGTTTTTTTGAGGTTATGTTACACAAATTATTACACATTCCTAGTCAGTCCATTAATAGGGTTGTTCGCGCCGCAGAATAGGGCGACACTGTGGAAGGCTATCACATTTTTCATGTTGTCCTTTTATGATAAAAAGACTGATACCTTTTTTTTTTATGGTTATGAATCTACATGTGTCTAGAAGAAAAAGGTTCTTCTGAATAAATCCTTTTATGTGGATTTTTTGGTCTAAGCCAATTGTGGGCTACTCAGATACATGTGTCTAGAAGAAATATGTTCTTCTGAATAATCCCGTTGTGTGGATTTTGTTCTCGGCCAATTGTGGTTGCTCATTTATGTCGGAATGTGTGTGCCTCACAGCAACATCATCTCAAGTAAAAATTGCTAAATTAAATAAAAGAAGTCAAACCATAAATGTGTTCCTCAGCCACTTATGTATAAGTATTTATTGATGTAAATAACTTGTTCTTTTCTATTGGCAAGTTATAATAATATATTATATCTATATTTATAAACATTTATAATTTGTGTGAATTAAGTCATTAATTAATTAAGTCATTTAATATATTTCATGAGAAAGTAAATATAAATGTTGTTAAATGTTTATTAACTGTTAAGATTATGTATAGTTTAATGTTATAATAATAGATTTTTTATTAACATTCATCTTTCATTATAGGAAAAATAAATCATTCATTGTTGTATCAAAATTAATTATTGTTGTTCATCTCAATAGAAAAATTGTTTCTGTTCTTTTACCAGTTAAGGCCTTGTGAGCCCAGTAGCCCTTTACAAGGGTTTTCACTTATATGATTTCATATAAGAAGTGTTGTACGATGTACTACGACTTTCTTAAATATTGATTAATTGTATGACTTCTTAAAATGTTGAATATTTTTAAATTTTGTACATTTCTATGATTTCTTAAGTCTTCAAATACAATTATAATATAAAAAAATTTCAATGACGGATTATAAACATTTTTTGTACATTGATAGATGTTTACCGAAAAAATTAAAAACTCACGTTAGAATCTTATCATTCAAGGTCATAAAATTTTAGTATAATTAATTTATTATATTATTTCCATAAAATTCTTGGTTCATAAGTTATTAAGTATTTTTTTTGGGTCCTTCTCTAACCAACTTATAAGTATATCAATTTAATGTATTAATTTTAAAATACTTATTTAAATAACTTATTTATAAAAATATATTCTAATTAATAAAATGACAGGTCTATAACAACTCAAGATTATTAAAATTTAAAATTAAGGTTAGAGTTTACTTTTATCACTAAATATTTTTTACTTGCAATGTTTGCTTTACTTAGATATAAAAATGTTAATGACTTTTGAAACACAAGTTTAAAAGATTTTCTCCAGTCATTTTATTTATTACATAATATTTTGATAAAATACCTATTAACAGAACTATTCTAATCAAAAATGTATAAAGCCAATAAAAAAGTCCAAAAAATTAATTAAATTGTTTTTATTCTGCGAGTGATTTGTATTCATAAAATATTGATATAAGTTTAAATTAAAGATGATAATTATGATAATTAATTCGATAATTTTTAAATAAGGATAGGTTGGTTAACATTTTTTAAACAAGTTTATTTTGATAATAATACTTTTATGCAAGTTATAAGCTAATTTAGGAATACAATTAACTCAACTAAGATAAAATATCAATTTTATTTTTACATCGTTGTAGTATATTTAGATTAAACATTTTTTAAAAATTAATTAAAGGTTTTAACATTATTTTTACTTTTTAACACACAAATTCTCAGCTTTGATTTTTTAATTTAGCTAATAAGGCAATAACAATAGTTAAAGAACTAATTTTTATTTGATAATTTAATTAGCTTCTGTAAACATAATGATGAAGTGTAGTTATCATCATAAAAGTAAGAAATTACGATCTAAAGATTTAAAAAAAAAATGTTTTGCTTATAGAGTAGATTAATGTACAATTAATCATAAGAATATATAATACATTATTTAAAAAATGTGAATCACATATAAGATATAAGAGATGAGCGTAATAAATAATTTATTATAGATAAAAATAAAAACAAAAATTCTTAAAAAAAACATAATATTTTATGAGATGTTGTTTTATGAAATACAAATTCATTCTAAAGATTAGATAATTATAATGAAGTAAAAAAATATTTTAAATACATAGTATCTCACGCATTACAATTGCAAAATATTAAATTTATATTAATGTTGTTTATTTTTTTTAATAATTTTGTCTTTGTACCAATAAAAAAGTAAGAGTAAAAGATAGAATTTTACACGTGTGTTTTACATTGACGTCATACAGTACAAACATGAAACTATAAAAATTAATTTTGAATAAAAAAGCATCTTTAAATGTAATGGACTTAATTTGAAAGATATCAGAAAAATTGTTTAAATTTTAGTTAAAAACTGTTTAAGTAATTTTTTTATCTTCTACCAATAAAACAATATTTACGAAACAAAAATCTTTTTAATCTGCTACAAAATATTCGTAGTAATATATTTAAAAAATAAAGTTAACGAATATGTGTTAACATCAACAACTAACAAAAATAAATAAAACATACAATATCTTTACAACTTTATTTCCAAATAATGAAAACCCGTAATAGTTTACCATGTTTTACTTTGTTTTTTATAAAATATGACCAAGGTTATACTGAGTGACATGGGAAATATTATCAATAATAAACAAAAATCTAGAGTATTCAATGAAGATGAGTTATATCAATGTCATTATATTGTTAACGATTAGGTTAATTAATAAAAACGTGATAAATAGGTGTAAATTAATGGTAAATCTCTGAGCTATTGTGTTTGCCGATCAAGTGTAGCGCCACTTAAGCGCACCGCGGCCCACGAGCCAGTCTGGTGCTTGTACTTAATCCGACGGCTAGTGGAGTGTCTCAACTTGAGAGCATATGGCTGAGATCGCCGTTTGTGACAAGTGCAAATGTGATGTTCACAAGCCGACCAAATTATGAAAAGGGTTCAAGAACTGAATGGATAAAACAACCAGGTTACATATTCACCATAAAAATATAATTTGTAATATCGTTATATTGTTTTAATTATTATTGTGATCATTAGTAATAAAATCTACGTCTGTTTTTACTAGGAAAATAGAAGAATATTTTCGCTAGTCTAATTAAAAATTGGATTTTTAATTACAATCTAAGTCATGGCCATGAAGGCGAAAGGTGTGTGTCCAGTCAGTGGCATAACATTTTGAGACCACATAACTTTGGTTTCAGGAAACTTTGGGTTAAATATTTTGATTATATTTTACAGAAAATTTCTTATTTTAAAAATAAACCACATTATTTAAGAATTTTTTTTTTTATGTAGATGTACTCCAAATAATAACACACGATATTTTTTCGCTATTATAAGCCTCAGAATACACAATACATAAGCAGAAAATATTAAAAAAAATAAAGGTTTATTGAATGTAATATACATAATTTCATTAGGATGAAATAGAACATATGATCCGAAATATTTTCAAAATTCCAGTTAAAAAACTCTTTTATGTCAAGTGTGACTAGTATCTTTCAATCTCTTCCAGTACTCGGGTTTTTCATACGAATTAAGAATGCTTATTATCTCTATAGTTACTGTGTTTAGCTTTTGGTTTATAATACTTGAATTCAAAATTTGTTAAGAAATCCAACGGATTCGCATTGGTGTATTTTAGTATGATAGTAATGCTAATCACTATTAGATATCATCATGGCTTGTCCGTCTTAATTATGCCGCGTTCCATTGTGTTATTTTTTTCTAACATTATTATTGAATAGGTTAAACTTTGTAGTTATAAAATAATGATTTGATTTTAAAAATCTTCTCGAAAATAAACACAGATTTAATATTTTTTTGTAGTTTAAATAGTTTTATTTTTGTAAGATAAAAACATTATTGATGGTGAAGTCTCAGGAGACAAAAAAATAAAAAAATATTATTAATCTATCTGTGTGGCATACTAATATTTTTATAAAGATAAATAAATAACTAAATTTTAGTAATAATGGGCTTAATTATCTTTACCCATACTCATGCGCAAGATACGAACATATGTCTAAAACACCCAAAAAAAAATTAAACTTTATCCAATCCTTCAGTTTTTGAAAAAAAAAAAAATAAAAGAATGAAGATATTGTTAATGGACATAAGTTTATCAATATTCAATTCCTATTTGTATACTTTTTATTGCAAATTGTCTGCCACTCTCCCCTAAAATTAAAATTAATATAAAGGATCATTACTATTTTCTATTACCATTCATTTATTTAAGTGACATAAATGAGCCTCCTAATCTTTAGGCTTATAATAAATAAAATGACGAGAGAAAGGGTAAAATGAATTAATTAATTTATATACTCTGTGAATTATAATTTTTAAATAGTTGGAATTGTAATAGTTTTAGGTGTCTGCCGTTTCCTATCTCAACCATTTTTCTAGTGTAAACTTTACGCCGTACTGCCTATACAAAGTCATAGCCAAATAGATTCGTTCGTCGATAGCGTAGTACGGACTAAAATACTATTCTAACATTTCTTAATTTTTTTTTCTATTTTCATTTTTAGTTATGATCTCTTTTTTTCTCAATTATGATACAATTTGCATTATTTATTATGTCCAGCCAATTACAGCCGTACAATTAATAAAGGAACAATAATAATAGTTATATATTTTTTTACTAATTATATGAGTTGACTTTAATTATTTTTATTAAAACAAAAAAATATATAAACAGTTATTGAAGATAATATATTTAAATCATCCAATAATATTTACCATAAAAACATTACTTATATAAAATTTTGTAAATAAAATATTTTTATTTATTAAATGTAAACTTTATAATGCAAGAAATATTTAATTTTAAACTGAAAAGGGTTCTGTGACATTGAGCTTGCATGTTATTTTAATTTGAAATTTTTTTTAATTATATTTTGAATAATACTTTTGAAATGGCCAAATTGAGTAGATTATTTTAATTTATTCGTGAATATGCGACAACGAGTACACGTGTGAAATTATATATAATAATATATTTGACAAGTTTGAAAAATTAATAAAAATAATTTTTTTTCAAAACGATAATATTGTCAATGTACAATCTATTAGGGAATAGACTAAGAAAATAAGACGGCACAGCAAAATCTATACATGTACAAATAATTTTACACAATTAAAAACAATCCAGAATTTTTATTATGAAATACTCATGTTATACAAAACATATAAGATAATTATTCTACTTGCACCATATTTATTGATGAAATATTGTACTTCTAAATAAAACTTAAGTTTTCACATAAATAATCTAATTAAACAAAAATATTTCTAAAAAAAAGCTATACGACTACCCAAATGTATAATTTATCTGCAATAACTGTTTTATAAACATTTTTGAGCATAAGTTACGAAGAACAAAATAGATTCTTAACAAAAAATAATGGACGGTAATAAATATAAATAGACGGATTTTAAATGAGACAGTTACTGAAAGAAGTTTAATTAAAAACAGTTACAAATTATAACAATTAAATTTTAAAACATAACCAAGTGGCACATAAATTCAAGATCAACTATCGTATTTAACATAAATTCAGTTTTCAAAATCAAGTAATTGTATTATCTTTAATCTTTCATTTACTTATTTTGATTTAATGAAATTATTCAATATATCAGTCGATTAAAATTAAGAAAAAATACGATAAAGAATTGTTGTTTTAATCGAGTTAAATATTTTTGTTTTTTATTTTTAATAGGTATTACAATAACGCAAATATAAAAATTACATCAAATGAAATACATATACGCGATTTAAGTGGATATAATTCTGCCATTTTCTCCACTTTAAAATAATTTGTGAAAATTACACGCCAAATTGCACAGAAGTTAAATCCTCTAAATTTTTATTCAATGGCGGAATGTGTATAATTTATGATGGTTATAAAACAGATAATGTATTGCTTTTTTCGTGTAAATTTAACGAGAACTATTGATACACAACATTAAGTTCTGAAAACTTATGACGATAGCGAAATGCATCTGTTTACATATTTTAGGTACAAAAGAAAATTATATTACACCTTAAAAATATATTTGATTTGACTCGGATTGATTCGTTAATGTAATTTATCTATAAATTATAGTAAAAATTATGTAAGACTATCAAATTCTTAAATACAATAAAAAATTATGTTTATTTATAAAATAGTAGCAAAGTAAAAGTTATATACAAAAATGTGTTCATAGAAAATTGTAAAAATTAAAAAAAAAATATCCGAAAAAGTGAATGAAATGATTTTTTTACACAATTATTTTACTTTTTACAAATCCTATGACAATTTAATTAATTTGTAAAAAACTTAATCGATACAAATATTTCACAGATATTTGATTTTCTACAAAGCTTGAAAGATTCAGTTATCTAATTGTGAATCCAAAATAATTGGCTGTTTTGCTTAATTTATTTTCACTTAAAATAATAGTCGGAAAATATTCCAACTTAAATATTTCACTAAAAATTAATAGATAAATTGTTTTAGGGATCGCACCCATACTACCATTATTGACTATTTAATGTTATTATCATTAAAATAGGAACAATTTTTCGACACGTGCTATTTTAATTCTCTCACTTTTAACCGATAAAAATGATACGATCCGTAATTAAGTCAAGACATATATTTTTTGGGGCCTCTTAGGGAATATATAAATTGAGAAATTAAACTCAAAGTATAATAGTCATCAGTATAATTATAAATCAATGATTTATAGAAATTCAGTATATAACGTTATTCAAACGAATACTACAGCATTTAAATTATTTAAAATACTATTTTTTATTGAGTGACTGTAAATAAAAATAGTTATTGGAACACAGACAAATACAACAAATTTATTTCCATTTTATTTTACGCCAGCTTTTGTTATTTATTCATTTTAGTTACAATAAGTACCCTTTTAAATTACAATAATAAAGTTCAATTTATTAATAAAAGCGTTTGGGACGGTTCAATACTGATATCAGGTTGAATTTTAATATTTTTTTGCGACAAAAGAATAACATAATAGTCGAAATGCTAAAATAATCGTTTAATATTGCGTCACAACACTATTTATTTAGAAAAGTTTTAATTTATTAAAAAAAACGGCAATTTAATTTAAATATGGACAAAGAAAAGTGTGATTTATGTATAATTTTTTCTATTTTTATATGATAATTTTTAATTTATAACACAAATAAATAAAACTAAGGAAAATAATGTATTTTGTTGCAAAGCTTAAATTAACAATGAGAAATGTTTTTATATTTTTGCTATTATCGAACAGCGTAGTACGCAAAAACAAAACAGAAAAATATTTGAGTTTTAACAGTTTTTAAAACTTTTAAATTTATTTCATGTTATTAATAACATTAAATATGTCCACGGTACTAATGCTGATATACACAGGGAGAGGATTATGAAATTTAATTTTAACAAATAAATGGTATTTGTAAATGCTTATGAGTTTTTTAAATTTTTCGAGTTTTTTTCTGTCGAATACTATTGAACTGTATACGAGGGTAATGATGATTGATGTATTAATTGAAAATAAAGTGTTAATTTATGAAAGTGGGGAATAACACCGAAACGGTCGATACAAATATCAAGATCGAAGTAGGAGAGCTATTATCTTGTAGATTTTATGAAAGGTGTACTGTAGTTTTAAATAAATGTATTTTTTTTATGGAACGCCAAGAATTTTAATAATCAAATAATATTGATTTTTTTGCTATTCCGCCGCTAAAACAAAACAGTAACTACTTTGTTCACAACACAGTTTTACACCGATAAATAACACTAATCGCCGTTAGCTAATAATAGTAATAACTAATAACAAAATATCGCGTTTGACACTATTCGGCGGAATTTACCGCAGTTGCAATGCCGTTGACTTGATTAAATGAGCAAATATTTTGATCTTCGTTTTCTGCAAGAGCATCGACTCCGTTTCCCAACAACCGCTGTTCCGCCAAATGTTCTTCTTCGTCAGGAATAACAGTATCGGTGTGATCGCTTGGAGTTATAGGTTTGGCAGTGCCTTTGTGTTTTCCAATCGTACCGGTGCTGTATTCGGACTGATTGCCGTAAGCGTAAGCCCTTTCTGGGGCTCGAGAGTCGGCCGACGACGAACCGCCACTGGAATGCTGCTGAGGCTGAAGCGCACCTGCAGGCCTTGTTGTTGGGTCCACTTCAGTCTCACTACTAGGCGCTATGACCGCGGTGGACGTCGAGTCCAAACAAGATCCGTTACCGTTGGCCATCAGTGAAGCCTCTCGGAACTCGCGACGCAACATTTCCGCTTCCAAGTCGAATTCGTCGTCGTCGTACTCGTAGTCCATTGACTTTTGTTCACCAGCTTCGACCGCCGCAGTTGCTACCGTGCATACTCCCTACAACACAAAAATAATTAATTAAATATTAAACAGATTTATTGTCGTGTTAGTTATTTAAAGTTCCAGTAGATTATTTATTCGTCGTCATTAATTTTTTGTTGGTACAAAACTCCCCAATAAATGTTCGGTCTGCATTATGACCAGAGACATCATTTCAGATTTGATTAGGAATGCCAAAGTTGCCATTCTCTAAATTGTACCTCGTCTTTCGGTTGCGCCACAGTAATGATGATGACGTATGTCCGATTAAAATGTATGTACAATGAAATTTTTAATGAAAAGCTGGGCGGGTAACAAGAGTTGTGTTGTATAGCGTACGGTTTTTACTTAGCAGTTTTCGTCCGTCTCATTAATGCGATGTATAAAAAGTCGTCGTGTCCACGTGTTTTAACAACAACATCTCGTCGAGGACGTTTTCGCGCAAATCCCGTTGAGTAATAAATCAAAAGTCAAGATAAACAAACGAATATTGACAAATGTTGTTACGTTGGCACTTTTGACGATAACTGTAACGCGTCGTTTTAAGTATTGGTAATTTTGCCATGACCGTAATACACGTCGATCACCGAAATTCAACAATCAGCAAAACCGTAATAGCTTCTGAACCCCTGATATCAAAATAAATTTCTCGTCTAATGCCATTATTATCGGGCAATATCAATATAGAATATATTTACTTATGAACTCCTGGTACTGTTCACAATTTTTTTTTTTTTAAAACCGTTAACATTGTGCGCGTTTGTAGCCAGATTTCATACTACAGCGCTCGTAAAAATACTGTCAATTTAGTTGCCTATGCAGTGCTCCTTTTATCACTTCTTTGTGCGTTTCAACATTATTAAAAGTTTCGGCTATACAGTAAAATGAATGATTTCCACAATTTTTTTTATGAGAATTATTAAATATCTCAACAAATATCTGTTGAAATAATATGAGGTATACTCTACCAGAACATTTTTTTATAAATAAATTCGTCAATAATTTAAAAAATGATTATTTTCAGTATAATTTTTAGTTAATAATCGTTCATTTAGCTGTTTCTTTTATGTTTCCTCGTTCGCAGGTGTTTACGATTTTCAACATATGTTATAAGTTTAAAGTATGGAATTTGAAATAGATTCTAATTGAATGGCATTAACTAAAAATATGAGTGCATTTGAAAATAATTGAAGTTATAAATTTAACGTATTATTGGCTTAAAATGTTATACTATGTTTGTGTATTTTTTTTTATAATGTCGCGAGTTTTATTTTACATTATATTCTATTAAATATAACCCGTAATGAGGGCTTTATGCTTTAATGGGTTATACGGATGAGTTGCGCACTGGAAATCAGGATGTTCTATAATGTGAACCATCATGCAACGTTAATAGTGACAGTTCGTCTGTGACCATTATATTCTGCCACAGTGTATGTCAGTATGTTTCAATAAAAGTTTAAATGAACAGTAATTATATATATATATAGTACTGTAACCATTCACAAATGTGTTCAAATGTGTAAACATTTACATTCGAGGTTCATTTTTATTCTATTGGTAAGAGCCAAGTATAATTGTGTATTAAAGCAAACAAAAAATTATTCGGTATTAAGCCATCTATTGTAATAAAATTATTCGAGAGTATTATTTTAAAACTAATTATTCTCACTTAATCAACATTTTTTTGAGAGATTTTTGCAAGTTTTTGTTTTTATACAATATTGATGAATCACAATTACAGCACAAATGATTATAGACATAATATTGATAAAAAAAAACTTGTTGTCAAATTGAATTTTTTATTTATAGTCATGAGGTCGAGCGAGTTTTAACTGGTTTCGCTAAACGGTGTATTTGGAACCGACTTACCATCGAACCTCGTTAACTTTAATACGTTGGTTTCTCTATAAATACAACAAAATTATTTATAATTGATGATTATATGCCAGAGGGTCGTATTGGTATTCCATTAATATGGAAAATCATCAATTGATTGAAATAATTACTAGGTGGCTTCATGTAGTCAATTACTAGAGTATTTTATTAATTTACGAATGGAGGCACTAACCTCTGCACAAGAGATACCACTTTATGTAGTCGTAAACTTAGTGTTACAAAAGGTAGTTTAATAGAATAATAGTAATAATTGATCACATGCGGTTAATAACTTTAATTTTCAATAAAAGTACGTTAAAAAAAAAATTAAACTTATATAAACGTCTACAAATAGCAAATAAATGTATTAATTTATACAATTTAAGGATAATTTTAAATAGTAAAATTTAAATTAATTGGTACTCCTTTTGAAATTCATTGTGTACGAGTGAATAAACTCATAAAAATAAAAAATGCTGTTAATGACTAATATATATATATATATATATTGTTTCCATATAATAATAATAATATATATGGAAAATGATTTTATTGCTATAATTTGATATAGTTCAAATGTTCATAGGAGTTGTAGTTTCGGTTTGACTACAGATTTTTGGCGTTACTTTAAAACACATAGAATTCAATGGCATTTGATTGGGCCCAAGAAGAAATCAGATAAAATACTTTTTATTTTTTTAAATTAAAAAATACTTAAAACTCGGTAAAAAGTCTAATTGATATTCTTTGCATTTTGATAACATCACAATTTTAAAAAATAATTTGTTAGTACTTAAGTAGATAAACAGTTAAATATTAATTCTATATTTCTTAGTATTAAGCACCCAAAGAACTCATTTTAACTCACGGGATTTGCATTTATGAATATTAGTTAGAAAATAATTAGAAAAAACGTCATTTTTTAAATAAATCATAGTAAAGTTTAAAAAATTATAATAGACTTTTTTTTTTAAATAGAAATATTTAAATAGAAAAAAATATTTTTTTTAGAAATGCGCGAAGTCACTTAAAGATCGTTTTAATCACTTAATGATAACAATACTACATCCAATTATGAAATATAAATTAATATTTATAGGCCTATTGTTTATAGCTTATCTATCAATATTGAAAAATATCAAATGTTCCCTACGAACGTTGATAAATGGGTAACTCTAACCAAAATTTATCAAATTGCAGTATAGCAACATAATTTATTTTTTATGAATAGTATAATGTACAATATATTGTGTATAATAGGTATAAAACGCACAATATATAATAAAACTGAGATCAATTTGATAATGCGATGTAACCCCAGATAGTAATTAAAAAAAATATAAACATTACTCAAAAATGTACAGTGTACATTGTACACGTTAAAAATCATTTTAAGAGTAATTTTAAAATTATTTCTCTGTGATTATGACAAAAATTCTAGACCATTTATTTTTCTTAATAATACTAAAATATATTTTCTTTATTCTTCAAAGGGGATCTTGGTAGGGTGAATAATGAAAGTAACTTTTTTAATTAGAATAGCCCTTCATAGAAATGTTAGAAATAAAATAAAAAGATGGTTGTACGATAAGTTGGTTAATTTTTATAATTACCGGTACTCTCTCTTCTGTCTCAACTATGAGGTGATTATTTTTCATAGTTAATGTAATTATACTGCCGTTTAAATTGGTTTTGTTGGTGTCGCCGAAACGATTATTGGGTGGACTGTTGTAAAGTGGCTGTGGTGCGGCATAACAGCAAGTTTCGTCTGGCATCAGCACTGAGTATTGAGATTCACTCGTTTTAAGCTGTCAAAACAAAGTAATGAAAATTAAACAAATAATTCAATGTACGATGAGTATTGCAGTTGACGTAATATAAGAGAACGGAAATTAAGTAATGTCCCATTAAAAAAAAAAATCATTTTTGTGCCAACAGTAATGTTATATAATTTTAATATTTGATTTTAACTAATTTGAATATGTTTTAAATTAACCATAATTTATTTTTAATTTGATAAAAGTTTCAAATTTTCATTGAAAAATAAATAGAATTATTAAATATGATAAGTTAATTTGAGTGTAAAACTTTTATGTTGAATTAATAAGTTTTCTTAGGAAATGAGTAGATAGAATTTTTAAAAGTTTCATTTTCGTACATAAAAAAAAATAGTTCTCACTTAATTATAAATACAGTTGATCATCAATTATACAAATATATATATATTTTATAAAGAAATAAGATTAATTTTTCAAGAAATATAGTTTAACAAAAAAAAAAAAACTTTTTTAATAGCATAAGTTTAAACAAAAGGTATAAGTTTTTTCATTTATTAACATCAAAATCGATAGTGTATGAAAATGAGATATAAATCTTGTTTACGTAATTATTATTATTTTTTTTTCAAATTATAGTGACTTAAATTATAATATAATAATTATAATACAATGAAAATGTTTAATGTAGTGAAATCTAAATTATTTGGAATTAATATTAAATACATATTTTATTGTATTTTTATGATTTTTATAAAAAGTGAAAACTTAAAAAGTTAATTTTCATGTATCCTCAATGAAGTATTAAATTACTTGAATGTTTCAATGTGTACTGAATACTCTTTCCGGTGGTTGTTTTTATTAAACACGTGGATTCGATGTTAATTACAGTAATGAACTCTATGAGGTACAAAAACTGTTAATGGAAATTCAATTTAAAAAAACACGCCTTACAAAAAAAATTGTTTAATTAAAACAAATTTTAATGATTTTAAAAAGTTTATTTTTATAATAATTATAAAATTAAGCTTTGAAATCAATGGTTAGATTAAAAACAATAAAATATATAGTAATAATATAGTGTTTTACAAACATGCAAATGATGAACAATTTTTTTTTTTGCAACTGAAATTATATTCACATTATGGAAGTTCTTTGTAGTATGTCTTTAAATAAATATTACTCTATAATTTATAAGCTAGAAAATTGCTATTTTTTATTATTTATCATAATTGAGATTAACAAGGATAAAGATTTATTTGACATGCGATTGAAATAATATTTTTCTTTTTGAAGTAGTAAATAAACTTTGTTTTATGTCACTATTCTATACAACGAAATATTTCATTAGAAATTTTATAAAAGATTATTATTATAGTATAGTATAATAATTTATTATAGTTAAAAAGTTTAGAAATATTATTTTTATATGAGAGTTTATAAGTATATTTATTTTTATAAAGTAATAACATTTGATTACGAGAATCAGATTACAACTTCTGTTTTAACAGAAGCTTATTTAAAAATTCATAATTTGGGACGCACGAATACCATTATTTTCCAATTAATAAGTTACCATAGAAATTTTTTTACTTATTTTGAGCTGATATATTAAAAAAATTCAACAAAAATCATATACAGAGTGTTCAGTAAATAAGAAAACGAATTTCTATTGTACTCATTGTTTGTAACAATTTAACTGTTTCCTAACTTACTGAACACCCTGTATGCTGACATTTGTATATCAACATGGTCATTGAGAGGGCACGTTCACAACATCTTATTTTTTCTTTTCTTTATATTTATAATAATCATTAAGCTTACAAAGAAAATCAAAATTAGTGTGCGATAAATAGTTATTATAACCATCGAAACAGTGAAAATGTTTACAATATTAGGTATAAAGCCTTATTATTAATGCAATTTAAACAATTATACTTAAATTTTCGAAAATAAAGTGCTACGTATATTTTATGTTATTTTATTTTATTTATTTTTATATTATTATTAATATAATAATTAATTAAATACAATATTAATTAAAAATTATATTTTAGGTAAATATAAGGGCTAAACCTTTCTAGTGTTATAAATGACAGTCCGTTCGACGCACCTTTCGCTATCGATGGTTCCTAACATCCGTTGTGATAACATATGTTATCATTTGTTCTAAACGGTCGTCCGTTCGATATTTCATACGTTACGAACGTGTTCATTACAACGTTCGCCATGTAAACTTATACAGAGTGTTCAGTAAATAAGGAAACGAATTTCTATTGTACTCATTGTTTGTAACAATTTAACTGTTTCCTAACTTACTGAACACCCTGTATAGTGTTTGGTAAGTAAAGAAACCGGTTTCTATTGTTCTCATTTTTCTTTTTACCCTTTTTTTTACTTACTGAACACTCTGTATAAAATAAATACTAAACGTTTGTGAACGAACGATTCAAAAATAGATCCCTAGACTCTAGGGCCTTAAGGAAGAGCATATTATTTCAATGTAGGGTGATCGGTTAACTATGTCTCATGTAATATCTTTAAAAATACAAGGTTTATAAGGGATTTTTTTTTTTAATCATTATGAATCTTAGATGAAGTGTTTCAACAGAAAATTTAAATTTTTACTGCCATCCCTTATGCTTATAACTTGTATCAACTTCATATTTTCAAATGTCAACCTTAATTTTTTTTACACCATTACATTTAGTTTAATAAAAAAATGTTTTGTAAAAAAAATATTTTATTTATTATTATTACGGCTCTCTAAATTTTAGGGTTTGTTAAGAAAAAATGATAACAGACTCGAACGTTATAGGTCGTCAATCAATAAGCGCTGTAAGTTTTAGAAATAAACATACCAAGCTTACCTTAGTTATTCTGACTACGTGAGTTAACACAGTAAATCGGTAGCTTTGATCGCTTTAAAATAATAACGTGACTATGTTGGAAAAGCTACTGAATTTTTTCATCAAATATCATAAATTTTAAAATAGCATATCTTGTTTAAAATTCATAATTTTTTATTTTTTGCTTAACATTTTTTTTTATGACGAACAAAAATATGGGGTTTCCATTTGAATATCTGAAGTTGATACAAGTTGTAAATATAAGGGATGATGATAGAAATTTAATTTTCTTGTGAAACAGTACATTAAAGATCCATGATTAAAAAAAAAAACAATTTCACGACACTTGTATTTTTAAAGATTTTACGCGAGATATATTTGCCGATCACTCTCTATACTAAAATTATTTTTTTAATATTTTTCTTTAGATAAATACAATAATTACAGTTAAAACAAATAGATTTTAATTTCATATATTTTATTACTGTAACAATAAGGACTTATAAAACTCTAAGGATAGAAAACATAAAATACTTTTATAACGTTTAAAATTTACCTACCAACTAATTCGAAGAATAATGTATGTTTTTAAAATGTTATAACCAAACTTTATTTATTTTAAAACATTCGTAAAGTGAAGAGAATGCGTATCATTGCCCTATTAAATAAACTACCACATTCCAATACACTTTCTGTCTTGAATAAAAAAAAAGAGTAAGACATCAGTTGACCAAAAATTAAAAAAAAAAAAAATTGTTCACAAGCATAGTGAGTATAATTTTTGAAACACTAAATTATTCAATTTTTCCGAGTGAGCAAATAAAAACTGAGATTTTTTATTTTTATAGTTAATAAAAACTAAAATGTCATAATTCTCAATATTGACTATAGTAATATCAAGATAACTATAATTATCATTGTGAGTATACCCATAATTTATGAAAAATATTTCATAACAATATATTAATTGCAATCTTTATTCGAAACAAATTTAATTAATTTAACTTTAAATTGATTTAATTAAAATAAAATTTATTTTAAGCAAATTGAAATCAGTCATGGAGGACGAATCTATAACGTGATTGGATCAGGATCCAAACTAAGTCTCGGGCTTTTCAGTTTGTTATTCAGTACTATGAGCGTAAAAAAATAATGTTATTTGGTAAAAATGATTTAAGATGATTAAATTATCATTAGAATCCATTTATTTACTGTTGTAATAGTAGTATTAACGTGACAAAAATTATTTTATCATCTTATTATTCATATTGCTGTGTATATAAAAGAAAAAATTTTAAATTTTGATCACAATTAAATAATATGTCAATAAAAATATCTAGAAACGCTAATGACGTTGATCCCATTTTTAAATTTAAAGAAGTATAAAAATACGGTTTAATGTTGTCTTAAAAACACTTGCAAATAGGTAAATTACTCTCAAGGTAATTTTTTTTATGAACTTACTAATGTGAAAAGAAACATTTTAAAGAAAAAAATATATATATTTTATTAAAAATGAATTATTCAAAGGTAAACAAAATACTAAATAGAAATCATAATATAGAGAGTAATATTTAAATAAGTATTTTGGGTAAAACTGAATCTATATAAAGCAGAATTCGTTTGAGCTGTTATTTTATGGTTGGCGATTGTTCTGAATTCTTAGTAAATTAAAACATATACATATATGTGGTATTATTTTTTTTCTTTTGGATTGTGTTAGTAAAGAAACCCTCGGAACACTGACCTCGATATAAAAAGTAACTCATAAAAATAAAGGATTAGGCTTAAGATCTCAAGAGTCTTTACTTATCTGAAATTTCTTCAAACGACTACTAATAAACTGATATCATTATATATTTTTGAGGAACAACATTACATGATATCTCTAGCTAACTGACAACGCTAATAAACTTTGATCAAATCATCACTACGATGATTTGTTTTTAATTACTATTGACATACTAGATTATGTTATGGTCATATGTTTTATTATTTATCACTTTTAAGAAATAAAAATACTTTATTTTTTTTCAAAAAATGTTTGTATTGATAACAATTAGTGTGCAGCTTGTAGTCAACCGTACTGGTATATTCGTATAACATCTGTGTTCTATATTCAATTAATTTATTAAAATGCTTGTAACTTGAATAGTTACTTGTTTTAGAATTGTTTTTAACAAA